CCCGCCTACCGAGAACACCGATTGGGCGGGGACAGGAGCCAGTCTCGCGCTTTCATTGGCCAGCCGTCAGGGGACACACCAGTGCCCACTCACGTGCCCGCTGACCGGCTCCACTCTCATTGGTGGAAGCGCACGCCAGGTAAAGCGGTACTGATAAACCCGATAGCGTCGGGGCCACAGATTGACAAGGGTGCCTCGAGGGCCGCCCAACGACCGCACTGTGGGAAGCGAGTATTGGCTCGCGGGATCGGCCCGAGGCGCCTACTGGCTGAAGTAAACGCCAATCACTGTCTCTCCGGGCCCCGCCCTAGTTATCAGGCTGCCGCTGAGTACGTGAGAACCCGCACAACATCCGACCCTGTGGCCCAGAACGCGTGGGCCAGGAGTTCGAGACCCATGGACGGAATTTGGACACCGGAGTCCCCAAATTTGCAATATCCTGAGCTGAGAAACAGAGCACCCCGAAGCGACCCATTTTGCAAAGGAGGAGGACGGAGAACTGGATAAATACAGGGTCAAGCAGCTAGCGCCTAGAACCCCCCCAAGGCAGGTCAGCAACGGGTCGATGCGTTTGCCCAGTGCTGAGTCCTCCCTTTCTTGCACACTGAGCTGCCCGGGGCGCTATTTCCTAAAGGAGCTGGGCACTTTGCAAATTGGGGGACTCAGTGCCCCGGTTCCGATTGCCGGTCTCCCCCACGCGTGCAGGGTGAGCGTCCGACTCCGTAGCTTCGTACAGTGAGCGCCTAACTAAAGTCCGCCATCCTCAGTGCCGTTGTATGCGGAGCCGGGCAGGAGCGAGCACGCTCCCCTTTCACCGAAGCGTCAACCCGGAGTGCACCCTCCCCGCAGCTTCCAAGGTTTTTAGCATTTGCACAATTCCAGGATGCGACCCAGCGCGGAGCCCCGCTTGCCAGTCTCCTAGTTCCAAACGCCCATTAGCAGGGTTCCGGGAGGGACCTGAGGCAGACGGTGCGCTGGGATCCTTCAAAATGTGTACCAGGTAAGACACGTTATGAGACACACGCACCATACTACTGGGGTTTCAGAAATTCATTTGAGTGCAAATGCCTCAAAAATAGCAACCCCCTGACTGTGGCAACTGAGTCTGCAGGGAGAGGAGGGATCCAGTCATGTAAAATGAGGCGTCAGAAGGGGATTTGAAGCTGTTGTGGGTGTTTGAAATTCTTAGGGGACCCTATTCATACACTCCCTGTGGAATTTAAACTTCACCTTTAAAGTAGGAAATAGAGGGGAGCCAGAAAAGGGATTGGATAATGGTCCTACGGCACAGCAAGGCACACCTGTAATCTGATACTTAAGAGGCTGAGGCAGGAAGAGACCCTGGCTCAAAATAAAAAATAAACCAGGCATGGTGGCGCACGCCTATAATCCCAGCACTCAGGAGGCTGAGGCAGGAGGATCACTGTGAGTTTGAGACCAGCCTGGGCTACATAGTGAATTCCAGGTGAGTCTCAACTACGTAAGTGAGACCCTGTCTCAAAAAAAAAAAAAAAAAAAAAAAAAATGGAGATTCTCATGTGTTTGGAAAAAAAATCTTCCCCCAGGACTGGTAATTAAACTCAGGAGCATTCTACCACTAATACACATACATGCACATCCCATCCCTTATTGGAGATGGGGTCTTGCTACACTGGTAAACTACCCAGGCTGGGCTTGAACTGGTGATCCTCCTGCCTCAGCCTCCCTAGTAGCTGAAAGTCATGTGCTACTGTGTCCTGCACCCTGACAAATTTAATATACTCGTGGGAGGAAATCTAACCTGTTTCACTCCCCTACGTTACCAGGCACACACGTACTGCATACATAGTGACACCATGGCCCACACCCATTTACCAAGGTGCCTCACAAATCAGCCACTTGATAAATCAACCAAAAAGAAAACTAGGTGTGAAGGGGAATATTCAGCACTGTCCCAAATTTGCTTCTGAAATGAGGGACATTTACACACACACACACACACACACACACACACACACGCACACACACACTAGCTTTGCCCTATCCTCGCCTTAGCCACTCAACCTCCTTGTTCCTCAGTTCTCGTAATGGCAGAATCAAATCCAAGGGTTGTTTTGCACTTAAAACCACGCAGTTCCAGCACTGAGTGGGTTCAAAATATACTGACCCCCATGGTTAACCCCTAAAGAAATGCACACTGCCTTGTCACCCGCAGTGGCGGGTTTAATTTTCTTCACGCATAGCTTCTAAAGTGGTCGTGCATTCATTTGAAAACCAGGGGTGGAGAGAGAGAAGCAAATGTTTGTTTTGTTTTCTGAGACAGGATCCCTCGCATTGTGGAACAGGCTGGCCTTGAACTCCCAGCCATCCATCCTGAGTGCTGGGATCACAGGTGTGCGCCACCACGCCCAGCCGAAAACAAGTTTCCAGAGTCAATGTGGAAGATTGTAAAAATGTGCTCAAATGCCAGTTTTTCAGCACTAGGGATTGAACCCAAAGGTGAACAGAGTTCACTTGGACAGGGAAGGGGTGAGGCTGCGACACTCGCCACAGCGTGGAGCAACCCTGAGGACGCCGTGCTCAGTGAGAGACCCCAAAGACAGGACGCAGCATGGGCTCCGCAGACAGGAAACGCCTGGGACAGGCGACTCCAGAGACAGGAAGTGGACCTGTATGTAGACGCTGGGGGCTGCAGAGGAGACAAGCAAGGCTGCTCTCTGGTTTAACAGTATGTTCCGGAATTAGATATTGGCAATGGCTGTACAATTCTGTGACTATAGGAAAAACCAATCAACTGTACAGTAAATGCTTGAGTTGAGAGCATTTAAGTTGCCAACTTCAGATACAAACCAACTTTGCGTTAGGAACTCGTAGATGGGAAAGAATCGGGAATTAGCTCCCGTGTGTGCCGGACACGGTCACAGTCGTGCTGAGTGCTGGTTGCACACTACTCAGGACAGTGCTCAGAGCCCAGGACGTGTGTTTTTATGCAAGACTCACTTTGTCCCGCTGATGAACAAATCCAACTTAGAAACGCTCTCCTGAGGCCGGGGATTTAGCTCTGTGGCACTGCGCCTACTTCACATGCTCAAGGTTCCGAGTTCGACTGTAGACACACACACACAAAAAAAAAGTTCTCCTGGAACTAAGTTGGGACTTACCATACACTTTAAATGAGTACAGTTACATGAAACCTCTTCATAAAGCTATTATAAAACAGTAGCCAATCAGGAGAGACAGGCCCAATGTTTTAATTTTGTTTTTAAGAGTAGGAAAAGTTTATCTAGAGAAAGCTTCTGAGACAGACAGAAAGCGGGCTGCCCCACTGTAATTATTTCTGTATAACAGTTTCACAAACCTTTCTAGGCTTTCCACATTTTTTTAACAGTCCGAGCCGGGCGTCAAGGTACATGCCTACAATCCAGGTACTCGGGAGGCTGAGGCAGGAGGATCACAAGTTCCAGCCCAGCCTGGACAACTTAGCAAGATTCTGCCTCAAAATGAGAGTTGAAAGGGCTGCAGCTAGAGCTCAGCACTCCCTGGGTTCCATTCCCAGTACTGCAGAAAATATTAAAGTGGAGATGACGTTTCCTGCCAGCTTTCCTCTTGGGGATTTTGTGAAAGTGAAGTAACAGGCGAGAAAAGACACAGGCGCTCAAAGCTGTTTGCAAACACGAAGACAACCAGATACATCTGTGAAAAACATTTATTCTGAGAATCTAAAATCTGCACAAAGAATATTGAACTCCGGAAAAAGCCTACACAGAATTTCGTTATTTCTTCCCTAATACATTTAACAATCTAGTAAGAAAAAACAAAACAAAACAAAAAAAACTTTAAAAATAGCATTGCTTCAGTCTGTCTGCAGTTATGTGATTTAAACATCCCTGGGTCTACTGAGGTATACGCTGCAAACTTTGGTAAAGTTAGAAAAATGAACAAACCCTTTAAAAAAAAAAGTATAAAAAAAAATACAACCAAATCCTAAGTTATATCTTTCTTGGTACATATACTACAAAAAGAAATTTCATTTGAAAAAGCATTCATTACAAAAAAAAAAAAAAAAAA